CACTGCCTGTCTACAACTTTCCTTCTCTACCTTGCCTGTCTCCAACTTTCTTTCTCTACCCTGACTGTCTCCAACTTTCCTTCTCTAGCCTACCTGTCTCCAACTTTCCTTCTCTATCCTGCCTTTCTCCAACTATCCTTCTCTACCCTGCCTGTCTACAACTTTCCATCTATACCCTTTCTGTCTCCAACTATCCTTCTCTATCCTGCCTGTCTCCAACTTTCCTTCTCTACCCTGCCTTTCTCCAATTATCCATCTTCACCCTGCTTGTCTCCAACTTTCTTGCCTCTAACATTTCTGTCTCAGATCTGCAGTTTTCTAACTCGCTGGCACGCTCGGAAAAAGATTTATAGCCAGTAAATGTGTTGGAATAGCAAACACTGGCTCGTGGCCATAAATTATGGAAACGCGATAGATAAGGGCCGCCCAAACACCAGAGACACATCTAGGTTATCAGAGGCATGGTAACGATCTTCTACACAGATAGCGTGGCCTCCAGGCCATTGATTTAATTCTACAATAACTTGTTTTAATCAAATATTTCCTTCCACGTCGCCGTTGTTGTTGGTAATGATGATGACGATGATGATGGATCTAGAACATACATAGCTTCCACGCGTTTTTTCATAATTCTAGTTACGACTCATGGAAAGAAACATCGTGTCACAGAAATGGAAATATTATTTGTGATATATATAAACAAACATATATGTATAATATTTATAAATATATATATACAAATCTAATAAACAAACAATGTATTGATTGGCACTCTTAGAAAAAAAAGTAGAAAGATAGAAGTACACACTAGACAACATAAAAATCTAAAGCTATGGTTACCGTGACGGGAATCGAACTTGTCGCCTCTAAATGGCGAGAGCGCTTCGCTATGGAAACAAGTGTACTAAGAACACAACCAACTAGACACACCGAAAAAGGTGTCTTCATTGGACACATCTATCGTACAGCTTGAAATCCACAATAATGTAATACGGACAGAATTAATCTCAAACCATTGAAATGGCACCATAGATTACAGAAATGGGAGATGGGGAATAGAATAACTGCCCTCTTATTAGCGTGTCCAAAAGCGAATAATTACACGTGGTACTATAAGTAAATTTGCCTGGGAGGAAAGGAACCAACAGTCTGGGCACAAAGAAGTCAGATCTGTAAAACGGATATGCACGCGAAAATCAAGTTCTTGGACAATGCCAAAGTGGAGAAGAGAACAAACAAACAGAACTTTCAGCCGGAGTTTACAACCAGTGAAAGCTTAGGAGGATGCAGATCTGACCCGATATACATTATCGACGAGCGGGTCCCCATTAGCTCGCCGGTAGACGACTTTGTCGCCGGTCGGGGCAATACTTGGGTCTGTCTCATTTAATCGCATCATCATTGCAGGTGTTCTTTTCTAGGCTCTTGGTGGCGGGCAGTGCTAAGTCATTTTATATAGCACAGATAAACTAGTCACAATTATAACCTAAAGCTCCATCTACGGTTGAACTCCATCTACGGACAACTCAAGTTGATATATATTAAGTGGCTCTGTCAATTGTTACGTAAACTGTTGTATCCCATAACATTATTAACTTCCCAGTTCTGTTTTACTTAAATTAACAACTTAGAATATAATAAGTTTAAATCCGCTTGGTACTGAGGGGGGGTGGGGGGGGGGTTAACACCATCACAACTATTGTCATCATCAGCAAGTTCCTTGCCGAATGGCTTAGGCGATAATGCCTCTCCACAATCAGCGGTCTTCAACATCATGCATTCCTTCGTATGATGACATTCCTCCATGCAATGACAAAAGGCTGTCAATAATATACTCGCGCTGTCTTCCTCTGTCTCTTTTCCCCACAGATCTTTCCAGTGGTCGCGAAATTTTCCAGTTTCCTTTTTCTAATAATACGACCAAAACATGAGTACTTCTTCTTTCTGATGTTTGTGATAAGTTGTCTTCGAGTCCTCGCCTCTTTCTAAAGGGTTGCTTATTTTTATATCTTGAACACCAACATGAGCTCGAAAGAACAGCAATTGAGGTTACGGTTCCGCGAAGAAGAGGCAGGGGTCGAACAGAACAGGAAAATCAAGGACAGTTAACGAGGCGGGAAAAGTTGGCATGGGACTAACTGGCTGTTTGGAGTGCCGTGACAAGAGCAGCAGTCTGTACAGGCTCTTTTAAATGATGTTGATGGTTTTGGTGGTGATAATGAGGATTATGATGGTGATGGAGGTACTGGTGTTTGGTGGTGGTGTCCTGGTGATGACGAAGATGATAATGATGATAATGATCGTGACGATTGAGATAGGGGCGGTGATAGTGATGATGATGAGGATGTCTTTGTGATTTTGGTGATGGTGGTGATAATGATGATGACTGAGGTAGTACTGGTGGTGGTGATGGTGAGAATGATGGTCGCCATGATGATGATGATGATAGTGATGGTGGTAGCGGAGGTAGCTGTGACGATAATAATGATGATGTTAATGATAATTATATTAGTGACGGTGATGTTGATAATGATGGTGATGCTGGTGATGGTGATGCTGTGATTCTGCTATTGGTTCTATTTTACACCACTTACCGAATTGCCCAATGGAGATGGCTTGAGACCGTTACGGTAACCAAACAGCGCGCTATCTCAGAACATGAGAACATCATGGTAACCAAACAGCGCTCTATCTCAGAACATGAGACCATCACGGTAACCAAACAGCGCGCTATCTCAGAACATGAGACTATCACGGTAACCAAACAGTGCACTATCTCAGAACATGAGACCGTTACGGTAACCAAACAGAGCGCTTTCTCAGAACATGAGACCATCACGGTAACCAAACAGCGGGCTATTTCACAACATGAGACCATCATGGCAACTAAACAGCGCGCTATCTCAGAACATGAGACTATCACGGTAACCAAACAGTGCACTATCTCAGAACATGAGACCGTTACGGTAACCAAACAGAGCGCCATCTCAGAACATGAGACCATCACGGTAACCAAACAGCGCACTCTCTCACAACATGAGACTATCACTATAATCAAAAACGAGCTATCTCAGAATATGCCTGCGATCTCTGCTAGCTGCCAGGGTCAAATTTGCTCTATGTGTTGTGCATTCACCATCAGGATATCCATAAAAAAGCTAAATACCTAAATCCTAGTTGATCACTTTCATCACTAAGGCTTATATTTTGAAATGGCTGGGCATATTGAGAGAATGTCAGATGACAGAACAAAACATTGTGTACACAAGAGAGCTGAATGGTGGTAGACCATAGGGCGGACCAAGAAGGCGAACGAAGAGATAATATCTAAACAGACCTGCAAACCCACGGAGTCACCAACTGGAAAGAGAGGACAACCCAGAGAGTTGAATGGAGGCGGGTGATATTTGCAACAAAGAACATCTGCAACGATGAAACTCAAGAGCCGGAAATGCTGAATAAGAGGAAGTCTCTAAAGTCTGGACACATAGGAAAGATTAAAAATATTCAATAAATGACATCTAATAAAATTATGTTTAATTGAAACACTTAAAAACATATCCAACGCGATGTCCATTATTTGCGATTCAAAGTTTGATGCGCTTCGCAACATTCACGTGAACTGGGTGTAATAAATCCATATTGTCAGAATTAGTGAAAATGTGGGGGTAATTGCAGTCAAGCTAATACACGGAATTCCTGGGAAATTAGACTAAAAAAGCTTAACAAAATGGGTACAGAAAAACGTGCACAAAACAACACAAATAACGTTTCAAACAGGCAGCCTTTTTCAAACATAAGTGAACTACATAAACATAACAACGAGGAGAGGAGAGTATGTACATCTCTAAGGGATGACGTAAGCAACGTTAAAAAAAATGTGATGTGGAATAAATGAAATAAAATAAACGATGGCTAAAAAATATGGTCACAAAAAAAAAAAAAAAAAAAAGTAGTATTGTTAATATATATTATAATACTGGGAATAAAAGAAATACAGATGTTAATGATACATAAGTGATACTGATAAGAGATAGAAAAAAGTAATAATATGGAATACAAGAAAAGAAAAGAAAATAATTAACATTTAAAATGTGATAAGAGTAGAACTATTTAAATGTAGGTATGTTGGATAATGATACCACCTGAATTAAGAACGCCTAGGCTGTGGATGGGGCGATTTCCTAAGCGAATCGCGTAGTATGATCGCCAGAGCAAGATTTTAATGCTGTGACAGATATATCATATTCTTGTCAATATCGGAGAGGTGTTCCCGGAAACGATCAGCTAGCTTCCTGCCAGTTTTCCCACTGTATGCCTTGCTGCATCGTTTGCAAATAATTGCATAAATTACGTTGCGGGATTCGCAAGTAAAAGTTTTCCTAATTTGGAAAGAACCATTAGGGAAACTGACTTAGAACACACTGCGTCTTTATTTCCAATGTGTTCAATTAATTTATATCTTGTGTGCTGTGTAATTAAAAATGATGTCCTGTGGCTGCATAGTTAAATATGATGTCCTGTGTGTTGTTTAGGTAATGTGTAATGCCCATGCTTTGTTCAGTTAATGTATAATTTTCTGCGTGCTGTGTATTTCTTGTATGATGTACTGCATACTGGTTTAGTTCATGACATCTCATGTGTTGTGTATTTAGATTTTGGAGTCTCATATGTTGCATGTTTAGTGTATGAAGTCCTGCATATCGTCCATTTAGCGTGAAGTGTCCTCTATTATGTCTATTTAATATAGGGCTTTAAATATATTGTGTGTTTAACGTGTGAGAATCTGTATGTTGTGTATTTAACACACAACATAGTATGTGTCGTACACATATTGTATGGCATCCTATATGTTGTGTTTTAATGTATGTACACATACGAATTCATAAACATAAACAGACAGGCATATAAACAGATATACGGTCAAATAGACCAGGACTCATGCAGTGTGTACAAATGTTCCAGATTCAACTAAAAAGGTTTACAGCCAACAGAGAACCATGCATGTTCTGCTACAGTGTTGTACAGTAGGCCTGCTTGTCGCTGCTGCGGTGGCAAATCTACAGTCGTGGAGTGAAAGGTCATACATTGGCAGACCTCATACTTTTGGGTGCAATTCAACACTGAACAATGTCTCCGTGAGTACACATTACTGGAGTGCCTAAACTGTTAAATCGCATTTTTTAAAGAAGACCTTGGAATCAGAAGGAGGCGCTGTGGTGTCGCGGCAAGACGCTCGCTTGCGGGTCTGAAGGTAATGGATTCAAATCCGGACGGTGCTAAACAATTTTTTTTAAATAATCTAGGCTCTGAGGTCGACCCAGCCTTAAACGGATAAAAGGTAAAAGTCATGGGAAGTAAAGAAGACGGGCCTGATGTTGCCCTCATCACCTGCCAAGTGCCTATTGGTCGATAAAATATAGGTCTAGCCCTATATGCCCTAATACCTGAAGACGTGGATAAGGGGCCTGTGCTTTATTCTACCTGATATCAGGGGTGTCTGAACCTAGTAGTGTACGTCCTTGAGAGTTACCTCTTTTTCATAAAACTTCTGTATTTAAGATGTATATATTTATATATGTTTGTTATATGAAGTTTCTATTATTATTTTGCCTTTTAAGATGCTAGGACCCAACAGTCTGCATACTGCTGAGACAGCAGTCTGTCAATCTTTCCACAAGGGACTGTGATAAACATTCTGTGTGTTTTTCGTTGGCACAGGAGCGGAGCAAAGATGGGATGACCCGTTTGCTATGAAGCTGAAACTAAAACTACCAGACTACCAGACAAATAGGTAAAGGACCTTCAAGCTATTGGCAATTTGGGCTGCATACTATATTTTTATAGACCAAATGGCAGTCGGTGGGTGATGTGGTCAATGTCACGCCGGCCGCCTTTACTTCCCAGGACTGCACCTGAAACCCATTTAAGGCTAGGTCTACCTGGGATCCAAAGTCATTTTTTTTTGTCCGGCGTGCTAGGACTTAAATCCGAGACCTTCCGCAGGCGAGCGTCTAGGTTACATACAAATAAATCAGACATGTAAAAAGGATGTGCACGCAAAACTCAATATATTAACTGTGGTAACTTACTTAGCCAACTAAAATGACTCTCCACCAGGTCTCCAGTGACCACATCTTGTCCTGGACAAGACTCGGCAGCGATCTCCCGCTCCAGACAGACAAGAACTACGAGTTGTTAGCTGACAGTGGCGTCGCCAACATGTCTTTAACAATCAGGAGCGTGACCTCAGACATGGCGGGAATTTACTTCTGCCACATCAGGAATCAGTCCGGAGCTGAAGTTGACCGTGTCGTCAAAGGATTGAACTTGGCAGGACCTCTGTATGATGATAAATTCGAAGAGGTACTGAGATGTCGTAATGAATTCCAGTGAAATTTGACTAAAAGGCTTTACCAAATGTAGAAGCAGAAAAACGTGCACACACCTTTATGTAGTTCACTTCACGTTTAACAAAGGCGGGCTGCCGAAACGTTACGTTATTTAGGTTGTTTTGTGCACGTTTTCTGCTTTACCATTTGGTTAAGCTTTTTAGTCAAATTTCACTGGAATTCCTTGTATTAGCTTGATTGCAAATACCTCCATATTTTCGTTGTAATGAAAAGGTGTTTGTTGCATCATTCAGGATAATTTTCATCCTCATCACATTACATGCCACTATCACCACCACCACCAACATTATCATCACCACCACCATTATCATCATCACCACCACAATTATCATTACCACCACCACCATTATCATCACCACCAACAACATTATCATCACCACCACCAACATTATCATCATCATCACCACCATCATTATCATCACCACCACCAACATTATCATCATCACCACCACCATTATCATCACCACCACCAACATTATCATCATCACCACCACCATTATCATCACCACCACCAACATTATCATCACCACCAACAACATTATCATCACCACCTCCAACAGTATCATCATCAACACCAACATTATCATCACCACCTCCAACAGTATCATCATCACCACCACCAACATTATCATCATCACCACCAACAGTATCATCATCATCACCACCAAAATTATCATCACCACCACCAACATTATCATCACCACCAACATTATCATCACCACCACCAACATTATCATCAGCTTCAACATTATTATCACGACCACCAACATTATCATCACCACCTCCAACAGTATCATCATCACCACCACCAACATTATAACATTATCACCACCACCACCAACATTATCATCACCACCACCATTATCATCACCACCACCAACATTATCATCACCACCACCAACATTATCATCATCACCACCAACAGAATCATCATCATCACCACCAAAATTATCATCACCACTACCAACATTATCATCACCACCAACATTATCATCACCACCACCAACATTATCATCACCACCTCCAACAGTATCATCACCACCACCAACATTATCATCACCACCTCCAACAGTATCATCATCACCACCAACATTATCATCACCACCTCCAACAGTATCATCATCACCACCAACATTATCATCACCACCTCCAACAGTATCATCATCAACACCAACATTATCATCACCACCTTCAACAGTATCATCATCACCACCACCAACATTATCATCACCACCTCCGACAGTATCATCATCACCACCACCAACATTATCATCACCACCTCCAACAGTATCATCATCACCACCACCAACATTATCATCACCACCTCCAACAGTGTCATCATCACCACCACCAACATTATCATCACCACCTCCAACAGTATCATCACCACCACCAACAGTATCATCATCACCACCTCCAACAGTATCATCATCACCACCAACAGTATCATCACCACCACCAACAGTATCATCATCATCATCCCCACAATAATCATCACCACCACCAACATTATCATCACCACCAACATTATCATCACCACCACCAACATTATCATCACCACCTCCAACAGTTTCATCATTACCAAAAAATAACTGGCGCTGGCATTCACCATAAAGTGTTTTTAAAAGTACCGGTACTCAGCACAAAGTGTCTATTACACTGGCTCTCAAACTTTCAAATACCGCGAACTTTTAATAGTTACTCATGTTGTGACGACCCCCAACCACACAATTATTTCCGATGCTTCTTCGTAACCACAGCCTTAAATGTCTATGGTTAAGCACCAGCAGAGAGATTAAAATTAGAATTTTGAGAGCATACATCTTCCCTGTGGCTACATACGGATGTGAGTCGTGGACTATCTCTCAGTCCTTAAGAAAGAGAATATGGGCTTTTAAGCTGAAATGCTATAGAAAGATTTTCAGAACATCTTGGACGAAGAAGATGAGAAATATTGACATCATAAAAGATCTGAACATCAAGGAAGATTGGCTAATAAACGGCATTCTGTTTCGGAAGCTGAAATATTTTGGTCATATCAAGCGCCACGACGGATTGGAAAAAATATAGCAGAAAGAATGGTACCAGGAAGGAGGGGCAGGGTCCGACCGACACGAAGATGGGCACAGGATATAAGTGACTCCTTGAGTGTGAAAGTACATGAGGTGGGAGAACTGGCGAGAGACCGAGTTTCTTTCAGGCAGACTATGATAAGAGCGACGTTCTGCAAAAGACCAGCTTCATGGTGATGATGATGACTTTGTAACGTCAATAAATATATGTTTTTTGTTGGTCTTTGCCGACTCCTGTGAAAGAGTCGTTCGACCCACAAAAGAGTCGCGATCCACAGGTTGAGAACCTCTGGTCTATTACATTAGGGCTGAAGATATGCAGCCCAAAAAAGTGCCGATGCTGACCACAATGAGAGCCGCCTTCATGTAGCGGCTAGACGCTTGTCTGCGGGTTCAAAAGTCGTGGATTCAAGTCCCGATAGAGCCGGATCATGTTTTCAACCCAAAGAAAAACTTTTGCTGCCATGTCACCCTATCCTTAAATGGGTTGGTTATCATCACAAGTATGAAGATACTGGACACCACCATCACCCCTGTTATCATTACAAGCATAAAGATAACGGACACCACAATCACCCCTGTTATCATTACAAGCATAAAGATAACGGACACCACAATCACCCCTGTTATCATTACAAGCATAAAGATAACGGACACCACAATCACCCCTGTTATCATTACAAGCATACAGATAACGGACACCACAATCACCCCTGTTATCATTACAAGCATAAAGATAACGGACACCACAATCACCCCTGTTATCATCACAAGTATGAAGATACTGGACACCACCATTACCCCTGTTATCATTACAAGCATAAAGATAACTGACACCACAATCACCCCTGTTATCATTACAAGCATAAAGATAACGGACACCACAATCACCCCTGTTATCATTACAAGCATAACGATAACGGACACCACAATCACCCCTGTTATCATTACAAGCATAAAGATAACGGACACCAAAATCACTTACCTATATCATTGTTACCATCATCCTCATTATTTATCATCATTCATCTTTATCATTCATATTTATTATTCGTCAGTGTCATTATCATTTATCGGCATCACTATCACTATAATCATTTTTAACACCAGGGTGTCACTAGAAAAATTGATGCAGCTCATCGGGTAAAATAACTAGCACACAGAATCGGGCAAAATAATCTGACACACGGAATCGAAAATAATAATCTGGCACACAGAATCAGACAAAAAAATCTGACACACAGAATCACACAAAATAATCTGACACACAGAATCAGACAAAATAATCTGACACACAGAATTGGGCAAAATTAACTGGCACACAGAATCGGACAAAATAATCTGACACACAGAATCGGACAAAATAATCTGACACAAAGAATCGGACAAAATAATTTGACACACAGAATCGGACAAAAAAAAACTGACACAAACAATAGGACAAAATAATTTGACACACCAAATCGGACAAAATAATCTGACACACGGAATCAGACAAAATAATCTTACACACATAATCGGACAAAATAATCTGACACACAGAATCGGACTAAATAATCTGATACACAGAATCGGACAATATGAATCGAACACACCGAATAGGATACAATAATCCGTCCTGCACAATCAGCTTTAAACGTGACATAGAATCAGCTTTCCCTGTGTGGTCTCTCATGGTTCCATTTGGGGGCTGAAAGAGGAAGGTGATGGTGGGGAGCGGGTAAGTTGGCGGGGTGGGGGTGGGGGAGCTACACTGTGCCCCTTTATAAGCATATAGTAATTGGCGCTAATTAGGTCAAATCTGGACGGTGCAGATATCGATCACAGCCTAGCTAGAAAAAAATAATGGGTGTGGAAATAAAAATGGGGGGTGGAGGAAGAAGGGGGGGGGGGAGGTGGAGGATGCACTATTATAATCGAAACACTGAAACCTTGCACAATGAATCAGACCAAATATTTTGACAAAACTGGACAAAATAACATGACGTACATTCTGAATACATAACTTAAAACACAGAATGCTGTTTGATAGTAGTTTTATTGTCATTTTAATTGCAGTACAAATCCAACGTCATTAGAGGTGTCATCTCCGCAGCCTCAGTTTTCACCTTTGTGGTCGGCATCTGTGTCATCGACCGCTTCAAGTACCTGACGATCGAGCAGAAACAGAAACGGCGGGAAAGGAAAGAGGAGAGGGCCAGACGTCAGCAGCAACAGCAGCAAGCCAAAAATGGCGGGATAGATAACTTGGCTTTGGAGGATGGACTACCAACTTCCCGGGAACATGATGGCAGTGCGCATAGAAAAATTGAAAGCAACACGCATTTATAGATTCTCATAGTGGTTAGATTTTTGTTTTCATTCACATAAGAAGTTACTTTCAAAAAAAAGTACATTTTGCATCAAATTCATCATAAATGTGATCCAGTGCAGTAGTCATGCTCTGGCTCACAAGAACGTGGTCTTTGTATATGTTGTTATGTAACTAGTTGTGTCCTGTAGTGCGAACTGATAATCATTATTCACGTTTCAGTCAGCTGTATGTAAAATTAATTTCTTCAGCTCTTCTGTCTATTTGCAAGCTCTGACACCAACGCTAGTGTACAAGACTCGCAATGGCATTTATATCTGTGAAAGCATTTATTAAAATGTAACTAGGTCATAAGTCCGTACAGCACATATATGATATCTAGGAAAGTTAAGTTTAAGTTGGTCATGTTTCCCTCACATCTAGCCTCCACGCCACAGTTGCTCTAATCAAAGACAACCACTATATACTCTTTCTTGCATGTATTAGTAGGTTACTGTCCGATATATCGATTTAGAGATCTAATTTTTACAGGGTCCAAATGTGATAAATGGTGTGGCAATAGAAGAATGGCAGCACCTTGTATTTTGTTAATGTTTTTATAAATGCATCTGGTTCATGTTGACGATTAAATGTAAAATTTATTATGCTGAAAGAAAGCAGTCAGTGAGTTTGATGTTGTTTCTTCACACAGTGAGTGGCGGTGTGGGTGTGTGAATAATAAATAGTTGCCCGCTTCTCTCAGGAAAAAAAAAAGAGTGCGAGAAAGAGGAAGTTGAGGAAAAGAATAAGAAAAAGAAAATGATACAACTATCACAATCTTTATCATATGAGCAGGAGGAGGAGGAGGAAGAAGAAGAAGAAGAAGAAGAAGAAGAAGAAGAAGAAGAAGAAGAAGAAGAAGAAATAGGAGGATGGGAGGGAGGGAGGGGGGAAGTAAAGAAGGAAGGAAGAAAGAAAGAAAGAAGGAAGGAGAAGAAAAAGCAGAAGAAGAAGAACAAGAACAAGTAGAAGGTTAAGAGGTGGAGAAAGAGGTGGAGAAAGAGAATGAAGATGAAGACAGATAGAAAGAAGTGAATGGAAACAAACTGAATAAGAAAAAAAAATATAATAATAATAAGGAGGAGGAACGCTAGTGTTTCTGCTTTGTTCGATGCTGCCGAAGATGTCTTGCAGTTGTGCGAAGATCGAGATCCAGCCATATAGGATAAAACCCCAACGTCACTCTCCACTTCAATTTGACATTAATAAATAAACACGTGGTGACATTAAAGACAATGTGTAACGAAAGTCGCTTCTTTTTATTCACCCTGCCCATAAAATATTCTAGACAGGTGACCTTTGTTACCTGTGGTTGGGGCTGTATCTGTTCCTACACTCAATACCTGTGTTTACCTGGTACAGGTAGAACGTATTCGCCAGTTTTATCACATAAAATTGGTCACAAACGTGACACGCATACAGTCGTGGAGCTTACACAATTAAGATGTAAGTTAAATGAAAAAGAGTTATAGTGTCGTGATTCTGCGTGATAGAGTGGTACATACACTGAATGCCTTTAACATTTGTGTATGGTCTTTCTGTCTGTACATTAATATATATATATTGCATTTGTTCTATATATATATATCAACAGGACAAATGCAAATTTCGTCACACTGAACATTCTTTTGTCGTCTCACTGATACAAGTTTGTAGCCCAGTGATGTGGTTTTGTCGTCTCACTGATACCAGGTTGTAGCCCAGTGTCGCGGTTTTGTCGTCTCAATGATATCAGGTTGTATCCCATTATCGTGGTTATGTCGTTTCACTGTTACCAGGTTTTAGCCCAGTGTCGTTGTTTTGTCATCTCACCGATACCAGATTGTAACCTAGTGTCGTAGTTTTGTCATCTCACCGATACCAGATTGTAGCCCAGTGTCGTTATTTTGTCATCTCACCGATATCAGGTTGTAGCCCAGTGTCGTAGTTTGTCGTGGTTTTGTCGTCGTGGTTTTGTCGTCTTATTGATACCAGATCGTACCCAGTGTTGTAGCACACCGACACCAGGCTGTAGCGTGGTTTTTTGTCGTTTTTACTAGGTGTATCCAGTCAGATTTTGTCGTCTTATTGATACCAGATCGTAGCCTAGTGTCGTGGTTTTGTGTATTTGTCTTGTACTTCTGGGGTAGCTTGGGTGATGAATTGTTCACACCATTTATCCATCTCTTTCTTGGTCTTCCTCTCGCCTTCCTCCCAGATGGTCTTGTCTGGCTGCATTCTTACTAGATGACCGAACCACTTCATTCTTGGTCTGTCAAAATAATCCAGACATGGTCTTATTTTAACTTTCTCTCTAATGCTGGTATTCGTAACCCTGTCTCTTCTCGTGTTGTTTTGACCTTGCGGAGGCAGCACATTTCACATGTATTTTTTTTCTGTATTAGTGCCCTATTCATTGTCTATGATTGGCACTGATAACATAAAGTAGAGATAAAGATGCTATTAATCATTTGCTGTTTTGCTGGAAGGGAGACATTTGGCTGTCTATTGAGCAGCGAACATTTGTCCCTCAATACTTTCGTATCAACGATACTCAAGGCCAGCTGGGACAATTGATGCCCCCAATAAGCAGGTAGTAAAATGTATTTCATTAGGATCTTGTGGAAATCGGAATTCTTCGGCATAAGGCATGTAGACCGTGGCCTAGCTGTACACCACGAAAGAACCTGCCAACCACTCTTTTAAGGATGACCGCAGAATAAAAAGACGAAAAAACTATTGTTGCTTCCTTCTTCCGTCTTTCAGACTGCATTATTGTTAAATCTTTTCATTTCTAACTTCTATAGTAAAGTATTTATGTTGTTTTTTCGCTGATAAATACTTTGGCCTAAACTTTTTAAGCTTCTTATTTTTCTTTTTACAATCTTTTTAATTGTCTTTGTACACTATATCTTGGTATTATTTTCAACGGCAGTCAGCATCTACTTCTGAAATCTTTGTATTTGTCTGATCTTTATGTTGTACTGTTTGCGTACGAGAAAATGGTACGCTGGTAAACAGCTTCTTCATTTGTGTCCTATAATTAGTGCTGGTTTTTAAGTACACGAAAATCGTCACTGTTGCATTTACGGATGCTGTGAAGTAAAGTAACGCCCACAGCATGTCATTCAGGTAATGGAACCGCCCATACATGTTTAACTCTGCAATCAGCTTCTTGGTTACTAGCGTTACCATGACAGGGGCGTGGCATATCAGAAAGATGATTGACACCAGTGTTACCATTTGAACTAGTCTTTTATCTTTTAAGCTCACTGTCTGGTTTTTGATTGGCTGATTTGATGTCACGTGGACTGGATTCTTGTTGTCATTGGTTGCTTTTGCTGATTTTCTGAAAGAAAACATAAAAAGCTGTCTTTTAAAGATAGACGATCTGTATTCTCTTGAAATATCTTGTCTTGGAAATAGAAATACTTTGGCCTTACCAATCATCAGAGGGGCGTGAAATGAAGAGAATAATGAAGTTTATGTTATCAAGTAATAGAGGGATGGGCCGACCGTCATGAAGGCGTGCATATGATATAAGAGACATTTTGTGTAAATAGAATAGTCATTGCGGCCGGAACGTTTGTGGGGGGTCCGAGTTCCTTTCATGCAGACTGTGATAAGAGCGACGTTATGTCAAGAACCTTCTAAGTGATTTAGATTCTCTTGAAGATTGTGGAAGGATTGTCTGTCTTGGGATTTTCAGGCGACATAACAATTTGCGTCAGAACTGGTTATGTGCCTTATACAGTGTCACCTGTGCAATTGCTGGTTTTTCTGTGACTGATATCTTCATCAACGATTAACTGCCGATTCCCGTTGCAACACCACAGCGGTTTCACTTTAAAAGAAGGTGATATGTAAAAGCCGTAACAATATCAGAATACCACTGACCTGAATCTCATGGACGCCTTGAGCCCATTGATCATCACACAGGTACAGACAATGACAATCAACATAGCCGCGCTGGTCAAGACAACATTGTTCAGCAGATGGTGCACAGTAACTGACGTAGACTCAGGACCGTGTGTGAGAATAAGCTTCAGTGGGGTTGTCTGGGTTCGGTTGTCCCACTGCCGGGACATGGGGTAGCTGAAGTACTGCAGGAAATTTGCCGAGAACACCTGTGGAAGATGTTAGAAGAGTCTGGGTAAAGGCATCGGCGTCGACATTGGGAATGAGTGTCGAGGGGTGGGGGAGCTCCGCGATGTCTCTTCCTTCTAGCCTTACACATTTTTGTTTTAAACCAAGGGAAAGGGAAAGAGCTTGGAAGGGGCCCCAAGGAGCTAAATCCCCCACCCCCACTCTCCCAAACTACCTGCTCACACGTTGTTTACAGATTCAAGCGCCTAGCAGGGGCTGCATGGTCTTGAGACATTGTGTCCACCTTGCTTGCTAGAGGTTGCGGGTTCAATACCCGGTAAGGGCTAGGATTTTTATATTTTCACGTGGCCTTGGAATTCTCGTAATTTCCACTGGTCTCTGGGTAGTGAGATAAGACGCCCGTGTGCATTGAGTGCGCATGTAAAAAATCCCTTTGCAGCTGGAAATCGAAAAGAGTAGGTTAAGGGCACTGTCCGGGCAAAATGTGGAGTTTAAATCTACCCAAAGTATTTCAGGATCCTCGCCGGTGCTACAGAGCCTGTACACTGTGCTGAGCTTCTTCGGAATTAGACTTGAGTTAGAAGAAGAACGGAGCACGTATGGGTGACACCCGTGTGCCATGATGTTGATCCGTTGTTCAAAACATCAAACCTCGGCGCGTATCGGCCATTCTACAACACCCCAGCTGGGTTAACACATCATCATCACCACCATCATCATCCTGTTGTGTCACTGATATGTCATACAAGGCTCGCAGTCTATCCTTGCTTTCTCCCGCTCTATCCTGTGAATTTTCGTTGCCTAATCATAGATGGAATCCAATGCAGCAATGCTCTCTCTCTCTCTCTCGCTCTCTCTCTCCTCTCTTTCTCCTCTCTCTCTCTCTCTCTCTCTC